TTTTTTTTTTCTTGCTTTGTTGGTAACTTGTGCAATTTCTCGAGAAGGAGTGAGCTCGCAGTGATGAGAAAAGTAACCGTCGACTTGTGATGCGAGAAATTGGAAAAAGATTTGTGGAGGAGAGGGACATTCTGGTTCTCCGAGAACCCTACGTTATCGGGGGCGCTGTTGAATCCTTCTCCGGACATGTGTGTGCGTTAATGGCGGGGATGGGGGCGCGTAGGTTGTCGCCATTTTTTCACTATGCAAACTGTTGATTTCAATCAAATATCAACGGTGGATGTGTCAAATTTGTGAGTTGTGAGCTTTCTGGAGCAGAAAACGAGCCGGGCAATGTAGATGCGTAATTTGTTGGCCCGCAAATTGGTAGTCCAAGCCCGGCCCTCGGTAGAAAAATTTAGTTGTAAATTGACTTGGGCTATCGGACAGGTTGGTCGGCCAGCATTTCGGCCCATAAATGTGCAGTCTGTTTCTGGCTTGGAAAGTCATGGCCCAATCCAGCTAAAAAAAATTTAAATAGTTTGGGTGAGCACATGAAATGAAAACCTGTTTATTATTGAGAATGGTCTCAATATGGAGGAAAAAAGAAAGAGAATTGCAAAATTCACCCACAAATTCATTTATACTTACACATTTATTCATTATTTTTGTTTAAGTTACGAATATATTAAACTGTTACTATTTATGAATTATTTGACTTTTAGTTTTTTCTTGTAATTGAGATTCTAAATTGTACTATTACTTTCTTTATAACTACTTTATGAATGATTATTTTTAATGTCTTTTTTTTTTTCGAAAAATTTTGAATTAGTAAACATATGAAAAAGTTGACACTAATCTCTCAAGAGACGGGAAGTCGTGGGAAGCAATGACAAACGGAATCAAAAGTATAACTCAAGACCATAATTCTTCAATCCCACTAAGCAAAAGAAAGCAAACAAAATTTTAAAAAAAAATAATAATAAAAAAAAAAAGAAACTCAATTCATAGACTAAGGCTATGTTCGGTCTTGGTAGACAAATAACCAGTGATATGAAAATTGATAGGCGTCCGCTAGCCGCTCGACCAGCACCTAGCGCCTAGAGCGCTTAAGTGGGGTTTAGAAATCAATATTAAATATCATATTTTTTATTTGTTTTAATTACCTACAAAACAAAACTATCTCAACTTACAATAAATCCACACACTTACCACATAATAAAATTAATATATTTTAAAAAAACATGAAAACAAAATAATGTGTATAGTATTTAAAAAAAAAAAACTGAAAAATTTTCGTCGAACCCGCCTAGGAGCGCCTAGGTCCGCCGAAGCCCGCCTAACTGCCTAGCCACCGAGCCCGCCAAGTTCGCTTATGAGCACCTAGGGCCGCCTAGGCCCCGCCTAGCCGTCTGGCTGATTTTTCTGCCGATTTGTGCAAATCAGAGGCGCCCGAGTATCGCCTAGCGTTTAGGCGGCTGCCTAGATCGATTTTTAACAGTGCAAATAAATTAGCTTATAAGCTCATTGTATTCAACATAAATAATGACACATACAGAAACAATAAATAATACCTTTTGAGTTATATCTGTAGACAGTATTGACTTATTTTAAATACATAAAGTAATTTTCTTGATACCCAAACAACACCCTAAATTTCGTTCTTACCACGCACATTTGACTCCATAAAAACCATGTCAAAAGGGTCGTGAGAATGCTCTCAACCATTCATTCATTCAAAAAAGGTTTAGTTTGGACTTTTGAACAAAGACGATGAAACATTTTGAACTTCATGCCATATAATAATAAAGTAGAAAAAATAAATTAATTCACATCGATTTTTCAAAATTGATGTAACAAGTAAAACGATGACATTCTTGCAATTGAAATTTTATGTTACACATTTGGTTTTTACTTTTTATTTTAACTGATTTTACCAAGTTTGGAGTCGGCATTATTTAAGTAGTTTTTCTGAAATCTTGTGAATTTGAAGTGTCGCTATACATAAAATAATATTAAGTCATTGTATCTTGAAGACGTTATGGAGAGTGCACATATTTCACATTCCTCGACTTTGTTTCGTTAGTTGAATTTTTGTTTGAGTATAGTTGTTCAATGTTCAAGTTCATAGTATGTTCGAGCCATTCGTTGTAATTTCCAGGGTTTTGAAAACCGGATCGGACTGACTGGGTCAACCGACCTTCAATCCTTTCTGGTTTTTGGACCACAAAACTAGTAGGCAATCGAACCGCCCAAGAACCGTTCGAACCGGTCCAAAACCAGTTAAACCGGTGAATCGGAACCGGTTTGAACGGTTCAACGATTCCGGATTTTGAACTTGTTAGGAGTTGAATGTGATGCCATTTAAATAATACACTTTTTTAACTTGTATTTCCAATGTGAGATATGTTCACAAATAAAGGTCCCTGTTGAATATATTGGGCCAATATCGGGCCTTACAAGTAAAATTTGTGTTCATTAAAAGAAAAATATACTATTTTCACATTGAGCTATCTATTGGCGGGCTATATTTATGAATCATTTATTTATTTAAAAAAAAAAATAAGTGGACTAAAATAAAACAAAAAAAAAATTGTGGACAAAAATAAAACGGACGGATTCTCAAAATCCGTGTTTAAAAGAAACACGGATTCTGAGAATCC